CTACCCCTTGCTATAACTATACTCCTTACTATAGTTAAATACTAGTACTACTAAGTTACAACAGACTCTAAATCTTAGTCTAGATTTAGATTGGTTTTTTTTTTAATGTTGTTATTGTTCACTCATTGTCAGTATGACTTTACTTTGTACTTTGTCAACTATACATACATAAACTATTACTATTAGTAAAATTGGCTAATTCTAATTCATAAGACTTGGCCTTTGGTATTTAAGTTAAGAGTCGAGGATACTTAAAATTACGGCGACTGATTCCGATTTGCCGAGGGTAGTGTTCTTAATAAAATTTGTCAATCAATGATTAAACAATACTAGCATTGCGTACTAATTTAACTAAAAATTCACCTGTTTTTTTTTTTTTTAAATTCCCAAAATCACGATAAAATAATTTAAATTTGTGGAGTAAATGAACAATTTTAGAAAACCTAGTGTAACTTCGCAATTCAATGTAGATTCTATCGAGGTGCAAGCCCTTGGTAAATAAAAAAAGTCAACTAATAATATTTGACTAATAATGCTGAGTTATAGCTTACCAAAGAAGGTACACATTAAGAACGTATAGGTAATAAATAAGCTTACATTTATTATATATTGATAAATTTTATTAATGTATGAATGAAATATTTTAAAATATTGTTTTTATATTTTTAAAAAAAAGTTAATTAATCCGTGCACTTTACATATTTTTATACGGAGTGAATCCTTTTTTAACTTAAGTAGAATCTAAAGAGCCTTGAATTTCAAACGTGTAAATAGAACAGGGGAATCTTACATATATTAAAAAGTCAATCCGTGATGATTTAAAAAAACAAAAAAAACAAATTAGTTTAAAAATTCGTAAAATACACAAAATATAACATTAGTAAAATGTTTTAAAAATTAAAACTTGTATTTTAAGCCCCACAATTTTCGGCAATTTGTTTGAAAAGAATGCACTTGATTCCAACATTTCCCCCCCAAGACGAAAGGACAAATACATATCAACATATAATATAGGAATAAAGTTTTTGTAATATATCAATAGAAGAATATATATAACCTGAATTTAATTTCAATTCACGCAGATTTAAGAATTTTATTCATTTCTTGCAGAATGACTCTATCGTTGAAATTAAGTCATTAAGCTGAACACAAATTGAAAGTGAGTGCACTGTCTTTACAATAATCTGATGTCATAATATTTGAAATTGATCTTCTGGAATAAATCTTGCACTGCAAAAAATTTAGGCTGAGCACTTCAGAAAATTAATTTAAAAAATCTTGGCTAAAAGCTCTTTGAATTAAGGCGATGCTAGACCCAAGTTTTGCATCACAGTCTTTCACAATGTTTGCGCAGTATAAGAGGGATTGTACAGCAGGATCAGTTAGATTAATTAAATCGCCAACTGAAAGTTCTTGTAATAGATGAAAAATTTAATTCATTATTTTTTTTCATTTGTTGGGTGGGTGTGAAAATGTGGATGATTCTAAAAATATATTTGCCCATTTTTTTTTAAACTAGTAGGCCTACGGGATATTATTTCATTATAAAAATTAAATGTATAAATAACTATATAATAATTCAAAGGTCTAAGATTAACTTACTCAAACTATTATTTTTACAAAATTATTATTAACAAAATGACAGAAGGTTGTGAAGTTTAACACCAATGTATTACTTACCTCTAGTTGTGAGGGGCAGGTGATTGACGTGTCTTGAAACACTGGATCTTATTTGTACACTTGAATTTTAAGGAACCTTGTCCGGGTAAATTAAAATACATTATCTTGTTTTTGTTGTTTGTTTTTTAAAATACTGTACGAACTTAAACTTAACATAATTGGAAGTGTTAGTATAAATAAATTGTCAGCTAACACCAAAGGAAATAAGACTAATACTAATATCTATTAATTTCAAATGAAATATTGGCCTTTTTTTGCTAGTTAGTTAATGAATGAGTAGTTAAACTGACACTGGGCTCACTGGCCGCTCGGGTAAACCCTGACACTGTGTGTGTACTCAGCTGTTAATTACTCTATTTTTACTAGTACTAGTGACTGGTAGTAGTAGTATTATTATACTGTTTTTAATTTTAAGTATAGGAATAGGCAGGGGTGTGCAGATGCTGAGTAATCTCTGGAACCTGCCCTACTGGGGCCTCCATCAGCGAAATTTTTTTGATTCTGTTACTGACAGTTACTAGTTTCTAATATTCAAATAGAGTTAATTCAAAATAGGCTTAATTGTAACAATTATTATGAAATGTGTGTGTGGGGGGGGGGGTGTGGGGGCACAAAAAATTTAGATTTTCTTGTGGCCAAAAAATCATCTGAATGGCCCTGTGAATAGTAGGCCTACTATCCTAGTCTCCATGGTCCTTCCATTCATCCGTCCATCCCTGTGGACGAGGTGCCAAAGCCAAAACCATGTAGAATATCACTAAAAAATAATAATTGTAGGTCTTTGGCCTGCCTCACCACATCCTTCCACTCACCTAATCTTCTTTTCCATGCTTGGATTCCCAACTACTGTGTCCATATCCAGGCATGGGTCAATTCCAATTAACATCAGCCTAGGTTATATTTTGTTGTTTGGCTTTTGTAACAAATTTTTTTTTTTACATGATCATGGTGTTAGCCCAATGAACAATCATCTTGGGGGCTGCCCCTTACGGCTCTCTAGGTTGCTGCCTTAATTTTGGGTAAAGTTTTTTAGCCTTTGTTGATCCCTCCAGTTCCTACAAAGCAGTAGGTTCTGATTTTGGTCCGCCCCAGGTATTTTATTTCCCCAGTACTTGCCTTATCTGGTGGGCTTTCCTATCTGCCACCCGGGGAGGTGCTCGATATCAGATCAGATGTAGACCTATCAGTATTGCGATGTGCAGCATAAATATCATGCCAAGCCTAACTCAGAGTTTGGGGAAGAACCACTTAATCTATTTATTTAGCCTATTGAACTGGCTGAATTATGTGTCCACTACTCTGCAGTTCTCTATAGTGGTATCTATACTAATGAAGCTAAAGGCCAGGGGTCAGCAAAGCAGGGTAAATTACCCCAAATGGGGTAAAAATAAAAATCTTGTGGGTAATGGTCAGTAGATGTAAAAAAATGATATTAAAGGTCTGTTCCTTTTCACGAAAGAATTTTCCTTTGGCAACACTGCCACTGGCCAGTGTAATAGAGAATGCAGCTTGTGTTGGGGTAACCATTAGCTTGGCAGCTAGCCAATGGTGTAGAAAGGGATGCAGGAGGTGGCAGTCCACCCTAGGCGGCACTTTTTACATTATATTGAGTAGTGTGATTTTCGGCTTTTCGTGGAAGGGGTCTGCCCCAGGCGTTACTAACTGTAGCTACACCACTGCAGCTAGTGTAACTTTAGTGAAACATTTTGAACTAATCGCCTATTTTATCTCATGAATGCTGACATTGACTTTCTCTGAGTCTGCCTGGTATGGTGACACCCAACTCTGGTGGTACACTACTGTTGTGGCACCCTGCTCTTGTATTTAACTTAGATCTTAGATGTCTTTCTGCTTTGAAAATGGCACTTGATGATGTCAATAATTGAACTGGTATTGTACCAGATTATAAGTTGGAAATCCAATCGGATGACACTCATGTAATATAAAAGCGTGTCACTTTTTTAAATACTGTATAGGCAAAGGGGATTTGAAAAAACTAGACATGCCATCTTATGACAGTCATGTAAAGTAATGTTAATCGATTGCTGTAAAATTTAGTATTTTCCCACTTATAGGCACACACCCCCACCCTGTGAGGGTGTCACCCAGTGCAGTCCACATCTTGGGACATCCATATTGATTCTTATGATTATGCTCAAAATGTCAAAAGCTGCATAGGTCTTCAAAATTGCACCTGAGTTCGCTGTCAATAGTTGCTGCCTTTTGCAACAACCTATCTTTAGGAACAAGAATTTTCCACCATAGAGAAAGTTGCACAATCAATTACTATCAATGAACGGTTTAGTGCTGCTGCTCTAGCAGACTTAATCTCTTTAAGACTGATTTTAAGTGTTATAATATTAACAATTAGCAGATGTGCCGTCTTCATCTGTATTTACTTTCATGGGGTGTCAAGTTAGCAAAAGTTAGCTTGACAGCAGTCTGGGAAAACCCACAGCCAGGGCCATATCCCGTTTGTAAGAGCAGACACATGTTCGAATTGGCGTTCAGTCCCGAAGCTCTAAAGTGGCCTAAAATAATTCGTTGACGAATTATTTTAGGCTTATGAATATGTATGCCTGTGAATATAGTCATCATTTTTGTAGTTTTATTAAATTTATGTTGGTTAATTTATCAGAAATGTTGTTCTCAACTTTTGATTGGAAATCACAATACTTAATGAAGTATTTTATTTATTTATTTAGGCATTTTTATATAGCGCTTACCTTAAAGCTCTAAGCGCTTTACAATTATTAAAAACATGTTAACTAAGTAAAATAAAAAATGAAAAACCAGAGACACTAGGATAGTAACTACTATACTATAGAAACAATTAAAATGGCTATAAAACGAGTACACTTTGGCACGTTTTGGCCTATACTACAGGATCAACCCGAGACAGAAAATGAGGCAGGGCAAGGAGGGTGCATCACAGGTCATAGGCGGACATAAACAGATGAGTTATAAGGGACTTTTTGAAAGTGGACGAGGTTTCACAATGACGGATGTGGAAGGGGAGCTGGTTCCAGAACGTGGGCGCATGGAAGTAGAAGGAGTGTTCACCGATGGTCTTAGTTTTGGTTCTTGGGATTGAGAGGGTTCTATTGTCAATTGAAGAGCGTAGTTGTCTTGTGGGGATGTAAGGAAGCAACAGTTCATTGAGATAGACAGGAAAGTGAGGGTCAGTGAACGAGTTGCAGCATAGATTGGCAGACTTGTTCTTGATGCGAGTATTCAGTTGAAGTAGATTAGCATTTAGCCCCTATTCACCCATGCATAATAATGAAAAAGTTTCTGTTTTTTTTTATGACTTGAGTAACATGTTTTTCTTCTTTTTTTTATATTTCAGTCAAATTGTCTTGACTCTTCGTGGAAATTTAAATTTGGACTTAAGACTTTTTTTTTTTCATTTTTATCATAATTTAATACAAAAATACTTCCCTGAAATGTTTGGAAGTAAACTAACTTCCCTGTTGATATTACTGTTTTATATAAGAGTACAGAATGGACAAACACTGTACAAACAAAAAACATTAACAATAGGAGGCATCTTTCCCATGTCTGGCAGTTGGGCTGGAGGTGTAGGATGTCTTCCTGCTGTGAAAATGGCACTTGATGATGTCAATAATCGAACTGATATTCTACCAGATTATAAGTTGGAAATGCAATCAGACGACAGTCAGGTAATATAATAGCTTGTCACCTTATGAAATACTATCTAGGGAGACAAGAATTGATTAAAACTAGAAATTCAGTCTGATGACATTCTTGTAATGAAATAGCTTGTCATCTTATTAAATACTGTATAGACAGACGGGATTTGATTAAAAGTTAGAAATGCAATCAGATATGCATCAGTTGCTATTAATATTATTGTTTTACCAAATGTTCTTGCCCACAGTGTAAACCTGGCCTAGGGACTAAAGTGCTGTACAAATTGCTGTATGACAAGCCAACCAAGCTTTTGGTACTTACCGGATGCAGTATTGTGTCAACATTTGTTGCGCAAGCTGCAAAGATGTGGAAACTAGTTGTTGTAAGTGGGGTAAAATGACTTATATTAGTGGATTACTCCCGGCTGATGTCCAGGGGTTTTAATTATAGATGCAAATCAACAACAAAGGATCATATTCTCATTCATATGAACTAAGTATAATTAATTTTTAAGGAAGACTGCAACCAATTTCATTAGAATGAAAGAAACCTATTTATTTACATCAATATAGAAAACTTAATAGAAATCAAAATCTTACAATTGTTACCCATCAAATGCTAATAGACATGGATTATATCAATTTTTATATATAGATTTACACATTTTTGCTAAAATGGCTATGGACTATTATGTTAGCCCCCTGCATAGACTTGACATTTCATCATTTCGTTATGCTTCATAGGAAGATAATTATTTTCCAACTGGTTACCACTTATCTCATCAACAATAATGATATAATTGAAAATTGTGGTAGATCGATCAAGTTGTGAGGTTCACTTCTGTGGTGGAAGGAGGGGTCACTTCTGAGGTGGAAGGGGTAATAAGGGGAGAGACTGCAGTCAGGTTAGTACAAAATAAAATGAGTAAAACAGAGTAGGGTGTAACCTGAAAAAATAAACGCAACAAAACAGCGAACGTGTCGGCAGAAAGCAATAGAAGTGCTGCCCACAGATACTAGCTACCAGCTAAGTGCTATTTCTTATTTTTATTTTTATACCGTTTTTTTTCTGTTGTTTTGTTCGCTGACGAAGGCTTTCTATTTTTTCAGGTTTAACCCTACTCTGTTTTACTCATTTTATTCTGAGGTGGAAGGGGAGCCTCTTCCCCTCGCTTTGGAAAGTTCTCAGGGCGGGGATGGATGTGGATTCTCTTGCAATTTGGCAACCAGACTAAATGAAAATACATCAACCAGGCTATGTCTCAACCAGGATATATGACAACCAGGCTATGTCTCAACCAGGATAAATGACAACCAGGCTATGTCTCAACCAGGATATATGACAACCAGGCTATGTCTCAACCAGGATATATGACAACCAGGCTATATCTCAACCAGGATATATGACAACCAGGATATATGACAACCAAGAGAGAGCAAACTTTCCTATCAGTACTAACCTGACATGTTCCCCTTTAACAATGCATTCAGATAGATGCATTTTCAATTCTAGCTTCAAGAGGCATTTTCAATTCTAGCTTCAAGAGGCATTTTCAATTCTAGCTGCAAGAGGCATTTTCAATTCTAGCTTCAAGAGGCATTTTCAATTCTAGCTTCAAGAGGCATTTTCAATTCTAGCTTCAAGAGGCATTTTCAATTCTAGCTTCAAGAGGCATTTTCAATTCTAGCTTCAAAACAATCTGTTCCACTGTTTTCTAGGAAAGAGATGTTAAGTTTCTATTTGCAACTTATCTTAGGTTAAACTTTACTTTGAAATGTTTGCTGTAAGCAATGCAACACTCTTAAGAATTACTGAATGGAATACACTTTAATTTATATGTATTTTATGCAGTTGTCCTACGGCGGAAGTTCTCCTGCACTATCTAACAGAGAGCGATTCCCAACATTTTTCCGCACACATCCTTCAGCTACACTTCACAACCCAATTAGAGTAAAAGTTTTCAAGAAATTCAATTGGCACCGAATTTCCACCATCCAAGAAACACAGGAACTGTTCACATCAGTGAGTGGAGAGTTAAATGTTCACATCAGAGAATGTAACAGTTGAATGTCCACGTCAGAGAATGTAAATTTGAATTTTCGCATCAGTGGGTGCGGTTTGAATGTTTTAAATCAGTGAGTGAGGACGTGAGACATTGAATTTCACATCAGTGAAAGTTGAATGTTCCAAATGAGTGGGTGTAAAGATGTTCACATCAGTGAATGTTTAGCTGAATGTTCACGTCGGTTAGTGGTAATGAGATGAATTATTTGTGTGATTAGAAGGAAACATTGCTTTTTTTGGTTTTGTTTAAATAAATTTTTTCTGTTATAAAATTGAAAACTGCAATTATTTTCTTTCTCTTCAAAATATGTCCCACTGTATTAGACCATTGAAGACTTGGAGCAAAGAGTTAAAGAAGCAGGCATTGATATTGCAGTGAGACAAAGCTTTTTGACAGATCCCACGAATGCTGTCAGAAATCTGAAAGTAAACAAATCTTCTTACCGTCTTGTCCCAAGAGAGTGAATGTTTAAACATTACAATTGAAACGTGTGTCATTGGGAATGTGTACAAAATAAAGGAGCAGAAGTGAAATATGGGAAAGACGTCTGTGTAAAATAGTTGATCTATAACATTTGTTAAAGTTGTCATTGATGGCTGAGACATTTTTTTCATTGCAGCGACAAGATGCACGAATTATAGTCGGTGTATTCTATGAAGATATGGCAAGAAGAGTGTTTTGTCAGGTAAACTGCAATAAATGTACATTTTTAAAAGGGGGGCATGCTTTGCAGACACTAATATTTATTTTTAGTACCGTGTATTAAAATCATTTAATTGATGACTATTCCTGTCCATTATTAGGAATGTATTAACTTTCTGCATCTCATTTTATCCCTTTTAACTCAGTCATGTGATTCCTTTTAATTCAGTCATGTGATTCCTTTTAACTCAGTCATGTGATTCCTTTTAATTCAGTCATGTGATTCCTTTTAGCTCAGTCATGTGATTCCTTTTTGCTCAGTCATGTGATTCCACTCTGTTAAAGATGTTGCTTAATAAAACTAAACCTGCACATTTTTTTAATAGGCTTATAAAGAACGTCTCTTTGGCAAGAAATATGTTTGGTTTATCATTGGGTGGTACCCCGACAACTGGTATAAAGTCAAGGACGATCGTCACAACTGCACCGTGGAGCAGCTGGAGGAAGCGCTGGAGGGCCACTTCACAACGGAGGCTGTGATGATACACCAGGAGGCGACCATGACAGACGTGGGCATGGTTGGTTCCCTTTATGCTTTAAACAAGGATAGGCTTGGTTTGTTCAAATAATTTCTGACATATATATTGTATTATATGAATGTACGTTGTTGAGTTGACGTCTTCCTAAAATAAAGATTTATCATATTAACAGCAGACTGTTGATTGGGGTGACACTGGCAAGTGTCATTATTTAAAACCATGAAACAGTTAACCATCATTTTAAGGAGCTAAACTTATAATACTGATTAAAGGTAAATGAATCATATAATAAATGTTAGTGTGATTTATCTGAGTGATTGAATCAAAATACCTTATCTTCAAATGAATTTTATGTTGATAACATATTTAAACTTGATTTTCAAAAGTAATATTTGTTACATTATTAAATTAACAGCCTAATGAAATGGTATTTAATTTTATGTTGAATATGTTTTTAAGCTTTTTATCAAAACTATTTGAAGAATAAGGGACATCTGATTATCTACAATGGGTTATCTGACTAGCTACCATGGGTTATCTTACAAGCTACCATTATAGTATCTAATGGGCTACCATAAGTTATCTTATATGCTGCCACAGGTTATGGGATACGCTACCATGGGTTACTGGCTGGTAACTGATGTTTGATATTTCAGACTGCCCAACGATTCACACAGAGACTCAATAAAATACTGAATACCACAGACACCAGCTTGATAACTGGATACCCTGAGGCACCTCTAGCTTATGATGCTGTCTGGGCAGTGGCTCATGCTTTCAACAAAACAGCGACCCAGTAAGTAATCTATCATGCTGGATGTGGAGTAGCCGTCAGCAGCACGTTAAGTCACTTCTCAAAATTTTTCTAAACTGTAGACATAGAACAAAAATCTGTCTGTATTTCTTTCATACATTTTGAAAAAATCAATTACTTTACATATTGCTAAGTATAACACTGCTTTGTTTACAATCATTGCCCAGGCTTGCAGAAAGGGGCATGAAGCTGGAAGACTTTGATTACTACAATGAGGATATCACCAATGCCATCTACAGTGCCATGAATTCTACCAAGTTCTTAGGTATCTCTGGGAATGTGGCTTTCTCTGCCAAAGGAGATCGCATCGCATGGACTCAGATTGAGCAGTTTATTAGTAAGTTTCTTTCTGTGTATGGACAGTATGTCTACATGGTTATACCAACTGGCTGTTAATACTAGCTAGATATTCATTTCAATAACAGGATGTGTTGGTTTAAAAAAAAAGTAATTTGTCTGATGAATTCTCTAATCACCTGTAAAAACAATTTTAGATTGGGTTTTTGAAAGTCGGTCAGTCAAAAGAATTCACCCTGACAGAGAAACAATTTAATCATACATTATTTTTTGTGAAGGGTAAAGAAAAATAAATACAAATCTTAATAATACATTTTTTATGTTTTCAGACGGCTCTTACGTCAAGCTTGGAGTGTATGACGCAGTGGCAGATAATCTTACTTGGTATAGAAAAGAGAAGTGGTTAGGTTTGTGATATTTTCTCATTGATAATATTTGGCTTTATTACAGTAATTTATTTTAATTCCTTACTATTTCACTGAAGTTAATTAATTTTTAGGTGTTAAATTACAGTAACTAATTGACATTATCGGGTTAAATTACAGTAATTTAATTTTTTTTAAATTGGCTAATTATATTAAATTACAGTAATTCATTTTTAATGTTTGAATGTATTAGACTAATTCATTTGAACTTTTTGAATAAATACAGTATTTCATTGAACCTTTTTTGGCTATATTACAATAAGTCAAGTCATTTTTTTTGCTAATGTTTATCTAGGGGGTCGCCCACCACCTGACCACACACAAGTCATTGATGACCTCAGAGTGGTGTCCCACACACTCTACTTCTCCATGTGTGGTTTGGCTGGTCTAGGAATCCTGGCTGGCATCCTCTGTCTTATCTTTAATCATATCAACAGAAACAGACAGTAAGTTGAAAAATTAGCATCTTATACATTTTAATAATATCAACAGACAGTATGTTGAAATGTGGGTTTTTCTATCTTATCTTATTGGTCTTACTTTAATGTGAATCTCATGAGATAGCCACTACAAGCCTAAGCTATAAGACAACAAATAGTTCCTACTATGCCAATTGATGACTTTATTATTTTTTTCTTCTTTCTTTAGATGTGTGGCGTTCTCCCAGCCTGCAATCAACAATTTGACTGTTGTAGGTTGCATGATCTGTCTAGGCTGTATTGTCCTACTGGGTCTGGATGGAAAGTTTGTGCCAGATTACCGTTATCCTCTTGTGTGTCAGGTTTGTAAAGGATTATCATCAGCCTCTTCTGCGTTGATGGTTGGGCTTATGTCAGTTTATTCAAAGCTTTCTGACTATTCCAAAACCTCTTTCGTCAAAGGGGATAGTTGTTTAAAAAATAATCCCAAACTATCTGCAATGCCTAGTTAATACTAGAATACTAGAATAGTATTTTTTAGAATACTAGAAATAAAAAAATGAAAGTTATGTGCCATGTAAAATTTATCTATATTTTGTTAATGTTAATATCTCATTATTGGACCTGGGAATTAAGAGTATAACATATTTAATAATGAATTTACGAAGCTTATATAGTTCTTAATTAAATTGTTTAATCAATTACAAATTCAATTATCATGAAAACTTAAAATCTGAAATTCTTTGTGTTTAAATATGTTTGCAGATGGTAATAGCATAGCACAAGACTTTAAATTTACAGTTGGAAAAAAGTAAAGTGGAAAATAAATGGTCTAAGACAAACATGATTTAATAAGTACTTTAACCCTGTGATAAATAAAATTACATAAGTATCACACCTGTTTGACCCTTATGATTACACAAGTACCACACCCATATGACCTTAATGATTTCACAAGTACCACATCCCTATTTATAAGATAGATTGTTTTGTAATTCTTGAGGCTTTAATACAGAATCTTAACGTTTTAGAAGTTGAGAGAAAATGGTGAACAATAAGAGTTGAATAAATATCACCTCCATGCAAAATATATAGAACCTGGGTATGACATTAGAAATAATTAATTTATCAGATTTATCAGATCTCCTCTAAATAGTGTTTGCCATTATTTCTCNGCTTCTTTCTCTTGGTTTCACTCTCAGTTATGGATCCATGTTTTCTAAAATCTGGACGGTTCATCAGATGACCACAACCCGCAAAAAGGACAGAACGGTACACTGTGAATGTTTGAATTTATTTAAAAAACTAGGATTTTATGTGAATGAGAAGTTGCTCATCATCGATAGAGCCAAACTGTTGTGTGGGGTGTCATTGATCTGGTTGTTATTAAAAGGCTTCCTTTAAGGCTTTGGCAAAAAAAAAAAAAAACTCATAAATTCTTTAACCTATCTGTGCATAAATTATTTAAAACACTTAACTCTAAAATACCGTAGTCAAAACAATGTTATGATTTTAAGAATGCATGTGTGTAATGTTTATTAAACAAGCGAAATTTACTTTTGAAAAAGATTATTGAATTATAAGAATCTGTAGTACAAGTCATAATGCATGTTACGTATCTTGCAAAATTAAATTAATCTTTTTGAAAATGCTATAAAATCATGTCACATCAATGCTAACAGCTTTATTATCTTTGTTATTTTTCTCATACCAAAATATAAAAAAATTGGATTGCAATAGATTAAATAATATATTTTATTCATTAGTATTTATTATAAATTCAATACTTTGCTACTAAATTTATACACCCACTTCTGCACTGAATCAATTCTGTTTTTTTTTTCTTCAAATTCAGCATTTAAAAAAAATTCCTCTTCATCATTGATAGTAAAAATAATACATTGTCTTGTCTGTAAAACAGGGTGTCCAGATCTGGGAACTGTTCACTGTCTTGGCTATATTGGTCTTGCTGGATGTTGGTGTGCTGACAGCCTGGCAAGTCTTGGATCCCTTGCAGAGAAAACTGGAAACGTTTGCACGTATACAGCCCACCAACACTGAAGATGACATAGAGTTGAGACCCCAGCTTGAACACTGCCACTCAGACAACTTGAACATCTGGTTAGGTCAGTTCTGGTTATACATAAATTAAATATGGCTAAGACCTGGTTATAAATTTAGCTAAGTCCCAATTAAAACATCGATGTGGGGTGAAGTCCAGGTTAAAATATAAATGGGGAAAATCCCTGTTTCAAATGTAAATAACATGAAGTCCTGGTTCAAATATAAATATGGTTATGTCCTGGTTAAAATATGAGTGTGGAGAAGTCCTGGTTCAAATATAAATGTGGTAAAACCTTGTTTTGTTTATTAAAGCTGCAAAAATGTTAGGAAGCTTGAGTTGCAGTACCTACTTTTCACTGTTGAATGGTGCAGCCTTCAACAGAAGAACAAATAGTTAGTGATTGGATGCACTGATCCCATCTCTAGGTGTCTTGTTTGGCTACAAGGGGATCCTTCTCATCTTCGGGATCTTCCTTGCCTATGAGACTCGTAGTGTGAAACTCAAACAGGTCAACGACTCCCGGTTTGTGGGCATGAGTATTTACAATGTTGTGGTGAGTACAGTGATGTCAAACGAAAACTTAAGGTGTGGGTACAGCTATTTTTAACTTGTGGTAGGTACAATTATGTGTCACTAGTGGTGGGTGCAGTTAGTGCATTTCTGTGTGTCTTGTACTGGGAGGAGTGAGCCTGTTGGGGGGGGGTGGGGGCGATCTTTGCATAAAAATCAATTTATATCTACATCCTTTGTTTATATTTTTCAGTCTGTATTACAAGCTAGCATTTTTGCTCTTTATCCTTATAAATGCTGTGCATATATATATATATATATATATAAAGCAGATAGCTATGACTCTGCATAAAATTTTAATAAATGCGTCAATTCATATAGATTGATATTCCATTTGTCTTATTTTATTGTGTTGGAAAAGCTACACAATTGTTAAAGACATTTTTGGGGTAAATCTTTTGTTTCAATAAGCAATCTTAAAGTTTAGTTACAATACAACTCACATGCTTCAGGGTCCACAGAGAAAAGAGGTTGAGATACCCTGGTATAGAATTCTGATTGCACTAGAGAATGGTGCTTTAGTTACGTTGAGAAGTGTGTTTTAGTTACGTTGAGAATGGTGTTTTAGTTACGTTGAGAAGTGTGTTTTAGTTACGTTGAGAATTGTGTTTTAGTTACGTTGAGAATGGTGTTTTAGTCACATTGAGAATGGTTTTTTAGTTACGTTGAGAATGGTGTTTTAGTCACGTTGAGAATGGTGTTTTAGTCACGTTGAGAATGGTGTTTTAGTTACGTTGAGGATGGTGTTTTAGTTAACATGCTTCCCTTGTGTTTCAGGTTCTCTGTGTCATCACAGCCCCCATTTCCCTCATTATTGGTAATCAAGAGGATGCTACCTTCGCCTTTGTCTCACTGGCCATCATCCTCTGCAGCTTCTTGTCTATGGGGCTCATCTTTGTGCCAAAGGTAAACTATACTAAATAATAAGGATGATCTATGTGTCAAAGGTACACTGTGCTAAAGATAATCTTTGTGCCAAAAGGTAATCTGTACTTAAGGGGGTAGGCGCCCGAAAATATCTAAATTTTTCAAAAATTGTCAATTTTTTTATTTTTTCATTTTTACGAAGATGAAGATTCTTAGAATCGATTACACGTCAATTTATACTACCGTACTTTTTAAAAGATTTGTTGTGAAACAACTGATATTTAACACCCCACCCCACTCTAAAAATTGAACTAATTTTGGAAATAAAATAAAATTCATACATATCCCATGTTTGAGACCTCAAAAAACTAGTTTTAAATAACATAATATGCTATTATTATATATCAACGTAAAGGTAAATTCAAGCAGTTTTTTTTTATATTTAGAATCAAATTCAGTAAATATAATTGCTACAAATAATCGGATCCACAAGCGAAATGTGTGTAGGATTTTCTTCGCTTCTATTTATACAATTATTTTACCGATTTTCATTGGGCCAAACGGAGGGTAACCAAGATACCGTTGACTCGCGCATGCGCAAACGAGTTGTTTATGTGTGTTTACCGAAATTTTGCAAACGAAAGCATCAGCATATTTTGATTTTAAAATACACATTTACAACCTTACCCATTCGGTAAAAGCCAGAAATTCAAGGTAAGCATACTAAAAAAATGACCTTAATTTAGCAACACGCAATCGGTGATAGTTGAAATTATTCACTTCGGACGTCAGCACTGTCTCTGTGTTGCCATGATGATTGATCGTGCGTGTGGATTGTTTGTGAGTTTATGTTTAGCTTATGCCTTATGCGGAGAATTACATAAGTTTCTACTATTAGTCTTTATATTTACCAATCAAGTGAATTGTTAAATTATATGAATCCTAAGTCTATTTATTTATAGTTGTCAAAACAACATTGATAAATAATCGAGTAGTTCAAAGTAATAGTATAGGCTAATACTAAGGCTAGGATTAACATTCAGTAACAACAACGCAATATTATGCCGTAATACTACTATAATTATGGTATTAGCATTAGCAGTATGGGCAAAATAATTCGTAATAGAATGTTTTAACTCAAATAGTTTAATCTTAGCCTTATTCATTTCTTTTTATCTGCATACAATTATTAATAGTAATAGCCTAATTAGTTTTATATTATTTCTTATTTGTAAGATCAGTTCATTAGACTAATAATAGTAATTATAATAAAATAAATATTTAGTTAAACAATCCTAAACATCTAAATAATACTAATAGGCTTATTGAGATCATTTTCAATATATTATTTGCTAAATGATGTTTATATAATTTTTTAATTCCATTCCAGCCCCCAATTAGTTCTACGAGCGGAGCAAAAGTTAATTCTTCAGTGACAAGAATTCTACAGAGGGACTGCTAAACATTGATTTCGATATAATCATAATTCAAAGCTTTTACCAATTTTCTTCTGTCTGCAGTGGAATGGACAAATTGCAGAAGCCATAACTTACAGCTGATTGCAAAACAAAATAGTAAATACTATGAATATAACAATGACTAGATTGTGAGTGGTTAGATTGTTCATATCCACAACTGGATAACCAAGTCATTATCAATTATAGACTGTAAGGCCTGAAGGACAATGGCATGGACTATGAAAAGTTGCAATCTATGTTATCTGCGATAAAAAATCTAGCTGCTCCGCAAAATTATAACCTGCACAAAGTATAAAAACTGCGCTATGCCGAAGACATGAAACATTTATGAGCAAGTATCTGCCCAATTATTACATTTCTAATAGACAAATAACTCATTCACCTCTGGTATGAGGGACATCTTTGATGAAAGAAGTACACAGAATAGGTACAAAAGTTTCAACATAGCATTGCTGCCATGAAACTATTTATGCTTCAATTTCAGTGATGGTGACAGCAACATAACCTTGTCATCTAAGCATGGTTAAAAGGATCATGGACAAAAAGGGTTGATTGGGGACTTTGGATAACTTGTGTTATACTATAATGCTGAACAAAAAATTCTTATACAACACAAATTAGCTTTATTCCAGAGGAAAAAATTTTTTTGTTTAAAATTGTGATTTTGACGAGAGCACCTGATGAAGTTCAAGAAGTTAAAACCCATGTTCCTGGTGCATTCAACAGTTCAATAATATAAGAAACCACCATGTCCATGTTGCTGAACAAAAAAAACTATGTAAAAGAACTTCATTTTCATATTAAACTTAAAATTTTTCACTTTTAAAGTTTAAAATTGATTTTTCTCAAAATTGTTTTTTTCTGTTGTTTTGTAACGTAGAATTCTAAAATCTCAGCTAATATACAAGCTAGAGTAATAAAATTTGGTGTGTATCTTCCTTTAACTATTTTGTGGGTAATGAGCTATTCAAAAATCAATTTGGTCAATTACTTTTGTTAAAATATTTTTTTTCTTATCCTAGGATGGTAAATTATAAGCGTTTTCTGCCAAGGCAAATTTTAAAAATTAAAAAAAAATGTTTTGAAAAGTTTGAAGGAAATTAAACTAGTTCAGTACCTCTAAATATAATTGAAGTTCATGAATCAATCATTTTTTAAGCAATATGTGTGTTTGTTTTTAAAATTTTAGAACTCTACAAATGGGTATTATTTTCAAGATGGCCGCCATTGCCATGGCAACTATATTATTTATTTTTTTTTTTAAGCATGAAAATATATCTCCATTCATAGCTTAACATGACCATAATAAAATAGTTGCTCTAAGTTGGTTAATTAAAAAAAAATTTTTTTGGTAGCCTGCCCCCCTAAAGTAGATGTGATCTTACTGCAAAAGGTCAAATATACTTAATGTGATCTTTGTACCCAATGCAAAATAGTAGAGATTATGTTCTTACAAAAAGTAAGGCTTATAAAAGATGAATAGTGGAAATTGGTGTAATGTAAAGAACCAAGTGAATAGAAAAAATTTAAAGACTTTGAATGCAATAACATTCATAAAACATATTCTTCCTTGCTAATAGGGCTTGTCATTGAATGGCTGAAATCTATTAATAGAACTGATGTCATCTTTACTCATCATCCGGGTACTCAGCGCGGACAAAATGTCAACACTGTTCAGCATTACTATGTTAGCGAAGTGTCCTTGAAATTTGTTTACAACTCTTTTTTTACGAAATATTTTACATATGTTTTTTTTTACTTCTATTTTCTGAAATGGGATTTCATTGCGCGAACGGCAAATGCAACAGTAACTCTAGATACAAGGATCGTCCGAAAGATTTGCTGAAACACACAATAAGCTGCCATCTTTTAAGCAATATTTGTCCGCCGACCTTCTAAAAATAGTACGCTATGACGTTTTCCGGTCTAAGAAATGACAAAGCCTATTGCTTGGTGATTAAATTTTAAAAAAGGAGATATTAATCAGCTCAACAAAAAAGTGAAGTTGTAAGCCATGTAGTTTTTTGCCTATCACATTAGTGATAGACCTTGTCAGAAATATTTTACAATCTTCTCCTAAATATTTATGTACTTTCGCTGAAAGTACATAAATTGGTCAAAAAGAAATTTGCTGATAATTTTGGAAATTTAAATCATATGGTGCATTATTAGTTTTTGGAGAAAAAATGCCTAAAAAGAATCATTAGGATTAAATAAGTAAACTCCTTGTTTTTTTGCTTGGTATAAACAAGTGTTGACGTGACAAAGTTGACGTGACAGAGTGTTGACATGACAGAGTGTTGACGTGACAAATTGCTGACGTGACAAAGTGCTGACGTGAAAAAGTGTTGACGTGACAAAGTGTCGACGTGACAAAGTGTCGAAGTGACAAAGTGTCGAAGTGACAAAGTGTCGAAGTGACAAAGTGTTGACTTGACAAAGTGTTGATGTGACATCCCACAGGTGATGGAAATCCTACAGAACCCACAGAGAGACGGGCAGGAGGTGAAGAGCTTGACGGACTCTCTTGTCAGTCGGGAGGAGGAGGAGAGGCACCAGAAGATGCTTGGAGAGAATGAGCAACTAAAGAAACAAATAGCTGAGGTTAGGACAGTCCACAGTCATCCCTCATCATTAGGTTCATGTTAATATTCTAATCCCTTAGAGTTGTAATAATTTAAAATATTAAATAACTTCCCTTTCCTCACTTTTTACATATTTTTTTTCTTATCATCCTCTTCAGTTGATCTTGTTATTCAAGCTCATATCATCCCATATCATAAATTATTATTTTAAAAATAAAATTATTTATTGTAAGATAATTGACCTCGTACATATATTTTTCATACAAATATATTTTGGGGGGAGTGGGGGGGGGATACTTTACATTCTATAGAAAGAAGAACTATTTCTTGTTTCTCAGTATTATTCTTTAGATAGGGTTTCCCAAACTGGGTTACACTCAGTGGTGCGTTGGGGCTTTTCTGGAGCTCCAAGGAAAAGAGCTATAAGAACAGAGGAGACATTAACCTTATAACTATGATTTAAAATAGAACAACTTTGAACATAAACTTGTGATTTATGACATAGAGTAACATTTTAACAAAGAAATGTTTACAAATCAAGAACAAATTTGTTAAAATGTTCCTCTATGTTATAAGTCACAAGTTTATCTTCTAAGTTCAATAGTTCTCTTTACAGTGCAATAAATCAATTAGAAGTCCATTATTTAAAATTTTAAAAGCATTGTTACTTTCGTAGGGGATGCAAGACTTGGTCACATAATTCATGGGGGTTTGGGGGGGGAGGGGGCAAGACCAGTCGGATAATTTACAGAATCTCATCGATTGAATATAGAACTATTTCTTGTATGTCTGAAATATTCCATAGATGGAAGATCGAATCCGTGAACTGAACCAAAAGTTACAAGAGCGGGCCAGGCAGCGCGTCACCTCGAACAATATGACAAGCAGGCCAAACAACACCAACAACAAGGTTATCATCGTGGATCATCTCTCGTCTGATACCTGTCCCCAAAACCAGCTGTCTCACGACTCGATTTGCCACCCCCAAAATCAGATATTGCACGACTCAATTTGCCATCCCCAAAACCAGATTTTGCATGACTCAATTTGTCACCCCCAAAATCAGATGTCGGCTGAATCCATGCTGGCTATTAATTCCTCACCACACAAGGCTGACGTTATGATGATGATGACACAGTCTAGCCCTGTTGTGGCTGATGCCAATTCAGATTCAGGACTGGCCGAAGAAAGCTTTGGGAAAAATTCAAGTGATAAAAAAGGATCATCGCCAGAAGCTGTGGAAATAGTCACTCTGAATCCACTGAACATTTAAAATTGTCTCATTGAATCCACCAAATGATGATATTTGTCTCATTGAAACCACTGAACGATGATATAATTTGTCTCTCTGAATCCACTGAAATATGATATTTGTCTCTCTGAATCCACTGAACGATTATATTTGTCTCACTGAATGATTATATTTGTCTCATTGAAACCACTGAACGGTGATATTTGTCTGATGGGCACATTTTTAAATGATTGGCCACAAAATCACTGGGTTTACTGTTACTACCTATTAGAAAAATTTTAGCACTAACACCCCACCCCAGCCTCCCCCCCCCCCCCCCCTGTTTGTAAGTGAAAAATAAATAGTCTTTTATATCACAATGGTCTCAGTTCAGGCACATCTCATATCAACAGAGTTTACTATTGGAATTAATATCAGCTGTTAATATATAACACCTCCATTAGGGTTACACAACAAAGCTCTGTGTCCTTAACACCTCCATTAGGGTTACACAACAAAGCTCTGTGTCCTTAACACCTCCATTATGGTTACACAACAAAGCTCTGTGTCCTTAACACCTCCATTATGGTTACACAACAAAGCTCTGTGTCCTTAACACCTCCATTATGGTTACACAACAAAGCTCTGTGTCCTTAACACCTCCATTAGTTAGGGTTAGGCTACTCAACAAGCTGAATTACTATGTTAGCTAATACTGTGAGTCCAATGTAAGTGACGGCTTGCCACCACTAATTGGATAATTCATTCCACTCCTCAAAATTGTCTACTTTCTCTCTCTTAAGAATCAGCAATGTCCAAATGAATAATACACACAGCACTTTATTACATATACTATGTAAGTCAAATAATTCCTTGATTAGGATAACGTTGTAACAATCATAGTTGCAATGCAAAGACTATATTATATACACACACATTCAATAATACTCCATCTAATATTAATCCAATAATCCATTTGAAAAATTCCACATGTCCTCTCACATTCAAGATATCTCGTTCACTCCTGCTCCACTTAAAAAGCATGAATTCTCCCTATGCTATAAAAGGTAGTCCCCGCTTTTCTCATTTTTTTACTTCATTCTCATCAGATCGCTAGGCCATTGTGCCGTGAGAATAAATATTGGTGTCGTGTGAAAATTCATAGTTAACTTGGTCTGTTATAACTTTGGTACTGTTTTATTTTCTTTATGTGAAGTTGCCAATGTTTTATCATCAATGAAATCTGAAACGTACTCAGTGTTCTCATTGGATTCTGAAATAAAGTCAGTACACATGAACCCGATATCATGTGAGCTTAAATGTTTGAATGGTGACTGATTTAAGAATCTCTATCAAATATTTTATATTATTTTGAATTAAATTAAATTTTCTTAATTAACAAAAGTTGATTTAAAAAAAAAGAAGATTTATTTATTGATTATTGCAACACATTATTTGTGTAGCACATTATTTGTGTTTAACCAGACAAAATTTATATGTAACATTTTTAATGTGAACTTAATGTATAAACATTTGTATATTTAATTTTTTTTTATTTGATAAAATGGTCTGTAATATTTTAAGAAATATTTTGAGTATCAAAAATGAGGGATTGTAAGCATTCCACCTCACACGATGGTAGCATTTTATATTTCATGTTATACAAGTATGCTACATTGTTAAAGCTAACAAATTACCTCTCATTACCTTGACTTCATTTTACTCTTTATTATTTCATAATCAACAAGTATGACCAGTAGTTAAGTACCACTGTCTGGGAAGCTGCATAACCTTTTCACGGAAGTAGCTTGATATTTTCTTGAAAGTCTAATACTCTAACGGTTTCTGGGGAATTGTGAGACATTCTTTGAAATTTGTTCCCTTAGGGATTATATTCTTGTCATTGTTAGAAATATTTTATTTACAGTGCAATACTATTACAATTGACTAGATAAATCAAAACTTTGCGACCAAAATGCTATAACTAGAAAATAGCTCTAAGATAAATCTATACGTAAAGGAACTAATTTATTAATTTATATACAGATATTTTACCACCATTCGTACAATGTGTATGCTCATACAACAAAATTTATACGCATGTACCCAAAGTTTAAAGGTGGGTGTGATTACCGTGTCATAGAAAATTGATTCAGGGAGGTTTGATGTCTTCAAACCATTTATTGTTTTGTAATGGTTTATTTTGCTATTCCAAAATTTACGTTTACACAATTGACATTTATTTTACACACCTCAAACTAAATCCTTCTGGTTTGAAAGTCTTGACACGCTGTTGTGTATTGAAACAGTCGCAAGTCAAACCAGTAATTTATGATTTTGAAATGTACTATTTGTGTTCTCCCCTTGGCCCACTGTGTTTGATGTCGATCTGCCGTATATATATCTATATATTTATGCCCATTGTTTATGGGTCTACAGTGAGTGACCATTTCTATATAATTTAAGTGACACTCACATAAACCCATTATTGTTTCCATTGGGATAAAAACATTTTTACCTGTTGTTTTATTGATTATAATATAAGCTGATGTTTGTGTGATATCCATTTGACATCCAGCTTAAACAATTTTTTTTTTATTTGTGGATTTTTCTTTAAAATCTGCTGTTAACAAGAAAAAAAATTGTACAGAATCAAAATATTTTTCTGCTTTAAAATACTGGCATGTTATTTATTTTAAAAATTGTACAACTGTGTTCATCACAAAAATTGAAAAGTATTATTTATGGAAGTTTTCTCAGAATGTTTTTTTCCGTTTGTGATCAATTATTTTGCTTTTCCATTCCATTTGTAGTTAGTTGATGTGATACCATGTCAGTGTCAGTATGATCATTTGATAGTTGATGGGATACCATGTCAGTGTCAGTATGATCATTTGATAGTTGATGTGATACCATGTCAGTGTCAGTATGATCATTTGAATAAATTGATGTTGTGTTTGACTGTAACCCTCACGTCAGGCAATTGTTAGGAAATACTGGAGCTTGTTTATCTTATCATCCATCACTTAATGGGGGGATAATGCAAAAGTTAAGAGAAGGAAACTCTGCGGCGTGGAGAGAGGCCATTTGCTGTAGGGGACCAGCTTATAATCCTAGAAGAATAATCCCAGGCCATTTGGAAGTCCTGAAGTCTGCACCATCGTCACATTGTGACGGACGTATGTCGGCAAAAAAAAAAAAAAAAAAGGATTAACTAAAAATATATTAAGTACCTCGGCACATTGTAAGAAAAATCCCAGGCCATTTGGAAGTCCCGAAGTTTGCACCATCGTAACATTGTGACGGACGTATGTCGGAAAAAAAAAAAAAAAAAAAGGATTAACTAAAAATATATTAAGTACCTCGGCACATTGTAAAAAGTGGAAAACAAATTGAGAACAATGTCTAACAATAAACTAAAACTTCGTTTGTTAAGATTGGGGATGTTATGTACCATTGAAATAACTGACATCTTTGGACATGGTATCCAGTATACCGATGAAATAACTGTCATCTTTGGACATGGTATACAGTATACCGATGAAATAACTGTCATCTTTAGACATGGTATACAGTATACCGATGAAATAACTGTCATCTTTGGACATGGTATTCAGTATACCAATCAAATAACTGTCATCTTTGGACATGGTATACAGTATACCAATCAAATAACTGTCATCATTTGGGTTTGAATATTCCAATAATGTAATTGTTATCATTTGGCCTGTTAAACTTTCAGTGTATCCATCAATCTAGTCAATAATTCTTGTCATAGACCTTGTAGACTTGGCATAAACCATCAATACAATCTGTCCTCATGTGGCTTGTGTTGATCATTATCAATATGTGTACAAGTTGTCCTGTATGTCTTGTCTGTGTGTGTGTCATCTTCAATATGTGTACAAGTTGTCCTGTATGTGTTGTCTGTGTGTGTGTCATCTTCAATATGTGCACAAGGTGTCCTGTATGTCTTGTCTGTGTGTGTGTCATCTTTAATATGTGTACAAGTTGTCCTGTATGTGTTGTCTGTGTGTGTGTGTGTCATCTTCAATGTGTACAAGTTTTCCTGTATGTCTTGTCTGTGTGTGTGTCATGTTCAATATGTGTACAAGTTGTCCTGTATGTCTTGTCTGTGTGTGTGTCATCTTCAATATGTGCACAAGGTGTCCTGTATGTCTTGTCTGTGTGTGTGTCATCTTTAATATGTGTACAAGTTGTCCTGCATGTCTTGTCTGTGTGTGTGTCATCTTCAATATGTGTACAAGTTGTCCTGTATGTGTTGTCTGTGTGTGTGTGTGTCATCTTCAATATGTGTACAAGTTGTCCTGTATGTGTTGTCTGTGTGTGTGTCATCTTCAATATGTGTACAAGTTGTCCTGTATGTGTTGTCTGTGTGTGTGTCATCTTCAATGTGTACAAGTTGTCCTGTATGTGTTGTCTGTGTGTGTGTCATCTTCAATATGTGTACAAGTTGTCCTGTATGTGTTGTCTGTGTGTGTGTCATCTTCAATATTGTACAAGTTGTCCTGTATGTGTTGTCTGTGTGTGTGTGTCATCTTCAATATGTGTACAAGTTGTCATGTATGTGTTGTCTGTGTGTGTCATCTTCAATGTGTACAAGTTGTCCTGTATGTGTTGTCTGTGTGTGTGTGTCATCTTCAATATGTGTACAAGTTGTCATGTATGTGTTGTCTGTGTGTGTCATCTTCAATGTGTACAAGTTGTCCTGTATGTGTTGTCTGTGTGTGTGTACTCTTTAATATGTGTAAAAGTTGTCCTGTATGTCTTGTCTGTGTGTGTGTCATCTTTAATATGTGTACAAGTTGTCCTGTATGTCTTGTCTGTGTGTGTCATTTTCAATATGTGTACAAGTTGTCCTGTATGTGTGTGTGTGTCATCTTCATTATGTGCACAAGGTGTCCTGTATGTCTTGTGTGTGTCATCTTTAATATGTGTACACGTTCTCCTGTATGTCTTGTCTGTGTGTGTGTCATCTTCAATAAGTGTACTAATTGTCCTGTATGTCTTGTGTTTTTACA